CGGTGGATCAGTCCCGCAAGGATTGGTCCACCAAGCTCGATGATGCTCTCTGGGCGTATAGGACTGCCTATAAAAATCCGATTGGCACTTCTCCCTATAGGCTTGTCTATGGGAAGGCGTGCCATTTGCCGGTAGAGCTAGAGCACAAGGCCTTCTGGGCCATTAAGCTGCTAAATCTGGATTTGAGTGTTGCAGGTACAGAACGTAAGTTGCAGCTGCTGGAGTTGGAGGAGTGGCGTTACCACGCCTACGAGAACACCCTGCTCTACAAAGAGCGCACCAAGCATCTCCACGACGCTAGGTTGAGGGGCCCGAAGGAGTTTCAGGTAGGTGATCGTGTTCTGCTCTTCAATGCACGCCTGGAACTCTTTCCGGGCAAGCTCCGTTCGAGGTGGTCGGGACCCTTCACGGTCACCCAAGTTTTCCCGCATGGTGCGGTGGAGATCAGCAATGCTCAAACTGAGCCATTCAAGGTGAATGGCCACCTCCTAAAGTTGTACTTGGGAGGTGCTGTCGAGCGCGCAGAGCTGCTGATCAAGCTCGAGGACCCTTAGTTCCTCTACTGGCGTCCAGCTAAAAGACGGTAAAGAAGCGCTTGTGGGGAGGCAACCCCACCGAGGTTTGCATTTTCTTACTCTTTTTCCTTTGATTTTTTGTGTTTTTGAGTCTTGAGATGTTGATCCAGAGTCAAATGTCGTTTTTGAGTGAAACCAGGTTGAATTCGGGGCTCCAGTACTTCGCACGGCCAGGTCATAAACTTGCACGGCCATATGGATTTTATCCCCTGGCTGTGCAAGCTCTCGGCGAAAATCACACGGCCAAAAGTGCAAATTTGCACGGCCGTGTGGCTTGGCCTGGCCTGGCCGTGTAGCGGACATGGGCAACACCAATTCTCGCACGGCCGTGTGGAATTTATCCTCTGGCCGTGCGAGCTCTCGACAAAATCCACAAGGCCAAATGTGCACTTCGCACGGCCGTGTGGAATCCCTCGGCCAGGCCGTGTCGGCCAACATGGGCTAAAGTGCTCCTCGCACGGCCCTGCGGGCCTGCCCGTGCGGCCAAGCACGGCCTATAAATTCGGCCAGCACGGCCGAGTGGCCAGAATCTCACCCAACCCTCGCCGGAATCCTCTGAATCTGGCCGGAAAACCGCGACAACTCGCCCTATTTTGATTTCTCCAGCCATTTTTTGTCATTTTTTCACCAAACCAACCATAAACCCATCCTTCCCACATCAACCGCGGCCTATCCCTCCATTTTGAGGAGATTTGGCCGACGTTTTTTTCGCCGGAGGCGATTTCCGGCGAAACTCCGGCGAGGCTCCGACGAGCACTTCCGGCCACTTTTTCGGCGTTTCATCGTCTCCATCGCCTTCCCCTCATCATCCTCTACACCTCTACTTGAGTCTCCAGGTTTGATTTTGCCCTTAACTATGTTAATTGTGGAGAATTGGGTGTGTAGGATGTATGTTTAGAGAACCTTATTGAATCTTGTGAATTGTTCAGGTGCCGAGCCGCAATGATTGGAGTGCTCAGCCACCCCTAGTGGCGCCAGCTCTTAACCATGGACGAGGTGATCTACCATGAGCTGTGCATGGAGTTCTACTCGACCTTCTCCCACCTCGTCCTGGCCAGCAAGAAGAGCCAGCCACGCGTGGATTTTATGCTGGGAGGTCAGCCACGAGTGCTGACCTATCTTGCCTTCGCACAGGCCATGGGGCTCGACACCGCTCACATGACGCTGACGGAACGGCAGTACACCGTCGACTTCAGCTACCAGGGCGCATTCCGAGCCCTCTGCCGCCTAGAGCACGAGTAGGACGAGTTTGAGGGGAGCCGCACCAATGTGGTGAAGATGAAGACCCAGTGGAGGATCCTCCACACGCTGCTCACCAGATCAGTCATCCCCAGTCTCCAGTTAGGCCACTTGATGACAAGCAGAGGCCTCATTGCCCTCTACTCGATGAGGAGTCCAGTAGAGGATCCATCTGGGATAGTTGATCGCCACCTCTTTTGCCAGGTGCCTGGGGCGGAACAGAGTGGACAGTATGCACATGGGGGGGCATCATCACGAGGATCGCCATCACTTCCAGGTGGATCTGGCCCGCTGCACCAGAGTCGTAAGGATGGAGCCCTTCCTAGTGGAGACATTGTATAACCAGAAGCTAGTACTCCAGGGCGAGAGAGGAGTGGAGTACCTTGATGGACTCCGACCTTCCAGAGTCATGCGAGCTGCAGTAGCACCGGCTCTAGTAGTGCCTGACCCCGAGGTTCTGCCAGCAGCCGAGCAGACACCTGCTCATGCACCCGGCCGCCGCCGCCGCCCAGCGCTCCAGCACCTTGCACAACAGCCACCATCAGCAGTAGGCGATCCCCTCGTCTAGAAAGTGGATCGCCTAGAGACAAACTTCATGGGATTCTCATCCCGCCTCGACCAGCAGACCGACATCCTCGAGCTTAAGGCTCGATGCCAGGGTATCCTACCCGATTCTGAAGAGGGTCCATCCACCGGAGAGAGGTAGCCGACGAGTGAGATATGTGGCAGAGCGGAGTCCTTTGGCCCCACTTCTCTACTTGTAACCCTGAACTTGTTTTCTTTTTGTTTTTGTTATTTTTCTTCAATTTGTGTGAGTGTGTGACATAAACTACTACTATGTATTGTGCTTGTAATAACCTCGCCTCGAGCGAGTCGTATTGTGTTTGTGTGTTTTTTTTTTTGTCTCTCCTTGAAGCTCAATTATCCTACCCCGGTCCGATTCCAACTTTCACTCACCAAGCCCAAGCGGTAACATCATTCTACCCCTTTCTTACGCCATTGAGGGCAATGTCGAGTTTAAGTGTGTGTGTGTGGGGGGGGGGGGGGTAGTTTACTAGTACACTTGTGTGAGTGTCATTAATGCTTGGAGCCTTTTGTATGCCCAAATTTCAAAAATTTGAGGGCTCCAAGCAATGTTTGCATGAGCAAAGTGGCCGAATGGTGGGAAATTCTCGTGTTAATTAGCATTGATCTTGAATTGTTGCATGTGATCGAATATATCCTATGATGATGATTGAGAAGTTCATTAGGATAGGGCAAAAGTTTAGTTCTTAGGTGTGCATAAATGAATGGATGTCTTGACTTGATCACTTGTGGCTCACAATTGCCATGCATCGTGTTTGTGAATTGGAATAGATGGTTGGGTAACTAGGTAGCCTGTGAGCTTTGAGCCGATCGTTTTCTTCCGGTGTGATAGTTCCCTCTTACCACGGTGTGTAGCATCACAAGTTGTCACTAGTAAGTATGATGGAGGCATAGGATTAGTCCACGCCCAAATGTTGATTGTCCCGAAATGTGTCATCCTTTAGTCAACCCCTTTGAGCCTTGTGACTTAGAGGGTCGTTTTCAATTTAGGAGCTTCGTGCGTGTGAGCTTAATGGTGTTAATAGAACGAACCCAATCCTTTCTTCGTGTCTAAATATGAGTCGTCCTTGTGTCCCGGAGCTCTCGCCTTTGAGTTTCCATAGAGGTTCTACATAGGAGGTCCGTGTGCGGTCCTTGATAGGGATGAGAAAAATGAAGTGTAGTGTTGGAGTGAGTTGCTCAAAAAAAGAGCATTGGTCGTTAAATGTATAGGTGGCAAGTGTTTTTACTCTCTAGTACCCCCTCGAAAAGAAAATAAAAGAAAAGAGAAACGAAAAAGAGGTAATAAAATGGGGTAAATAAAGTAGAGAGTGCCACGAAAAACCAAAGTACATGCTCTAGGAGGGGTTTCTTGGCACCCAAGCCATTGAAACCCCCCACATTGTTTTAGAACCCCTTCTCTACCAAACCTTTATGTGCTAGCAAGAGTAGACCGAGAAAGTTTTACAAAGTTTTTTCTCATGTCGAAACTATGATTTATGTGAAGATGCATGAACCAATACACTCAAAATCATCATAAATAAATATCAATCCATAACGTAAAGGTTAAATAAGAATTCTTAACAAATATGATCCTAATTGTATTTTAACCAATGTTTTAGAACCTCCATACCGGCCGATCAAACAAAAAGTACTGAATATCCAAACAGTAAATGGTTTTAACGTTATAAAATGATTGAATTACGGTTGAACCATAACTTTAGTACAAAATATCCTATTACTAATCACGATTAACAATATTAATTTTAATAAAATGAAGAAAACACTCGAAAACTGTATTATCTGATGGGGACATTGGAATTTGGACAAACACATCAGGTTTATCTATTTATTTTACCGGTAACCTGCTCATACTTTGTTCACACCTGCTCACACATCATGTATTGATTTGAACAAAGAAATTATGTAAAGGAAAAGTAATAAAAATATGGGAAAATTGGCTGACTTAAGTGCAAAGGCGGAAAAAAGAAAAACAAGAACAAAAGAAAAATCTGCAAGTGGCGGTGAAGCTTTTGGGGAGAAAACGCTTAGTGATCATTTGGATTGATAATTTGAAAAATTTGTTATTTGAGGTCAAATACCTTACAAATATCACATAACCAATTACTTGTCATTTGATATGTGATATTTGTCCCAAATATCATGTCTGGGAAGAATTAGAGATGTGTTATTTTGAGATGTGTTATTTACAGTAAGCCAAACTGGGGGCTACAATCCTGGAGAGATTCATACATATGCCAACAAGATAAAGCAACAATCTCACAGCAACAATCCCTAAAGAAGAAAAACACAAGCTGCAATTTATGTAAATATATGCATTTCCATTCCATTTACACCATATCTACCATAAGTTTATGTTTTTTATACCATCTAGCACTTTACAAAATAAATGCTTGTCATAGGTTTGCAAAGACTGTCATTACAAGTGCTTTATACTGACAGATACATAGGCAAAAGACTCTTTGCAAACCGGACAAAGACATCACTAATATTAAGACAAGCAAACCACATCTTTACATAGACAGAATATCAAGCACAAGCGTCATCTTGTCCTCCTCTGTTTCCGTATTATAGAAGGTCTTCACGTCTCCCAGACTGTTGTTAAGCCTTCTGGAAGCAAGTACCATGGGACCTAGTAAGACCCTCTACCTTCTCTAAATTCTTCATCAAATCCAGTCGCATAGTATTCTGCAACTCGCTCTCACCCAAAGCGCGAGCAATCTTCTCAATTGATCGGTTTATGAGTGGCCTCAAATCTATTATCTCAGCTGCAACTTCAGAGGTACTATCATCGGCGTGCCCTTTCTTCTTCTTTTGTGTCGAATTAGGCTTTGATGAGTGCTTCCTCTTGTTGCAGTTACGAGCTTCCACCCCTTCATTGATGATACCCGCCATTACTTCCTCTGTAGTATCATTGTTAAAGTCCTCGACATTGAAAGGGACAGACTCCTCAAAGCATTCTGGTTGTGGCTCTTCACCTTCAACACTAGTGGAGGATGAGTTTCCATCATTCCTGGTGAACCCAGTTTCACCATTAGCACGACCTTTGGCAAAGATTGGCTCGAGGGCCCATAACTGTGGAATTGGTTTTTTCTTCATTCCTTTGCAGTGTGTATGGACCTGTAAAACAAACACATGCAGCCTGTAAAGCAAATTGTGGCAACATTTATAGATGTAAAGGCCTTCATAAATTCAAACCTATCAATTAAGAAACTTCGAATGTGCATCATTTAATGGAAAATTCACATTGATAGTCACTAAAAGCATACAATTAATGTAGTTAAAAGTGTAATTCTATCTAGAAGCAGAAAATGGGTAAAATCGTAAAACATAGTATCAAAGCGTAAAAGCATAAGTTTTTGACGCACCCTCTAAAATAGCTAAAATATGTTAAGTACAACATATAGTATGTAAAATGTGAGTGTGTAGATTTTAGATAAGTGAAAAACTACATGAAATTCACAATTAAAATATAATATCTAACACATAAACTAATTTGTGTTGACTCAAAAGTAGAGAAAACTCATAACATCTTAATAATCAGCTCATAAAAATATATCGTAACCTGTAAACGAGCTTGAGAATCCAAATTCTCATAAGCTGGTTTGAGTTTACATAATTACATACGATCAATTGGCCATAAAATTTTATCGTAACCCAGGTAAGGGCCACAAGTGAAGATTAAGGGAGAAGACTGATAGAAGGTCAGCGACATCTCAACATTAGTTGTAGAACTTTTGATGAATCATGTTTTGGTGGCCGATTTTACCCATGTTTTTACCAGTTTTTGTGACTAAGCGACTTTAGGTAGAAACTGGAACGTTTTGGTGGTCTTACGTTTTTACGTTTTAATGCGCGATTTTGACTGCACTGCATACAATAAACAAAAAAATAAAAACAATTACCTTCACATAGTCATCAAAGGATTTGTCATAAGCCAATATATGGCAGAGTACCGGGTGCCAACCCTACTTGCTTACCAACGCATCTAAATGGTGGCATGATACTTCTGTTTCCGCTTCTTGAACTTATTCAGAATTGTGGGTTTCGACTTCACTCCACAACCAAGAACTTTTGCTTCCATCATACGTTCTAGTTCCTTGTATGCACCATTCTTGGATGTGCCCTCACTAATCTTCCCTTTCTCAGTTAGTTCCAATAAACATTGCAGAAAAGGAACGTCGTGTTTGGAATGCCACACATCATACTCCCGTGAAGGACCATCCGCATTGTCTACAACTTTCCTCTTCTTTCCCATACTACCAGACAAAAGTGTAAGTTGTATGTATAACAAAAAGAACATGTCGCAATCACCTAGTAAAGAAAATCCACTCCAAGATAGTAACAGAAAGAACATCCAACATCCAAATATTCTAAGTACAAACTTCAATTACCATAAACAACATCCATTCCATACAAACTTCAGTACATATTTAAGGTAATAGAAACATCACATTCACAAAATATGAGACTTTTTCATCTATTAGGCCTATTCTCCCACATGAAAATTGCTTTTTGGTTCCTGTACTGTGTCCATTGCGGACAAGGATGCATGCTGCAAGTATCAATTGTCTCAACCTCAGCTGAAAGATGATGTTCTGGTGATATGTTCTCTCAAACTGATCGACTCCTTCTTCCCTCATGAAGTTGTGTATAATGCAACATACAACCACAATTCGAGCAACCTCACGTGAAGTGAACCATGATGAGTCCCTTAGAATAGTCCATCCCATTTTTAAAATCTTGAAAATGCGTTCTATGACATTTTTAGCTGATGAATTCTTCATATTATAGTACTCTTTGGTAGTTTCAGGTGGATTATCACCCGATTCCTTGAGGTGGTACTTTTGACCATGATACAGGGTAAAAAATCCAGGACTATTTTCATAACCAGCATCAGGAAGATAGTACCTTGTTAGGGCATCTAGTAAGACCCTTCCATCATGGGCAGAACCTTTGATAACTCTGAACTTGCACATGTTTTTACCCCTATTTTCTTGATTGTTTAGCTGGGTGTTTATCATAATTTGGTCTATTATGCGCTAGTTTGTATTCCTTTGTCACATTTCAGGTCCTACAACGTAAAATGAAGCATAGACGCAAGTTTCAAGTCAATTGGAGATTAATTGGTGACTCGGTGGAAGAAACTCGGGCATGACCTAGGGAAAATGGATTGCTATCTCATTTCATGGATAAAGAATCATGAAATCTAGGCATAGAAAGAAAGAGGACGAGACTACGAGCGTCTGAGATCAAACGACGACTGTTTCAGAGTTGGGATGAGGGAGAAATGACTGAAAGCCAGCAGCCTCTCCAAAGTTACGGGATGGCCTTCAAAGTTACGGTTCAGACCATAACTATGCCATTTTGGTTGTGACTCAGGGCCACGGGAGGCAGAATACATTCCAGAAGTTACGACCTGAACCCCAAAGGTTACAGCCGTAACTTGAGGCCGTAACTTGGCTTCTGTGAGCTGTATAAATGCGGTTTTGCGGATTTTGAAGGGAGAGAGTTGGGTTTTGGATCGCAAACACCCAAGGGACGATTCCTATAGAGACAGAGCACCTTGGGGTCATTCTTGGAGCCATTTTGGAGGATTTATTTACCATTGGAGCTCGGTAAACAAGCTTAGCGATGGAGATTGAAGATCTAGATAAGATTTTGCACTCTCTCTCTCTCTCTCTCTCTCTCTCTCTCTCTCTCTATGGAGTAACTTCCCTTCATTTAGGTTTTGAGGAACCATAGATTTGTATGCTAGGAAGAGTTGTATGAAATTGAATACATGATTGATTGACGTTTTGTATTCAATAGAGGCATTGATTTAGAATTACTTGAGTCCTTATCAAACTTTTGTGATTCCTGCTTTAACCTAGAACGATAGTCTCTGTGTAGGTTAATAGAGCAACCTTCATTGTAAGTAGTGGATCGATTGCTTTAGTCGAGAAATTGATTCACTGCTCTGTACTTGAATTAAAGCCAGTAGAGGAAGTTTGGTGTGTTATTGCCTTCGGTAGTTTATGCTGGTGGAGGTTAGCTGCCTGTCGGGTATTCGAATTGATAGGGTCTGGATGATTTTAGTCGAGATTTCAGATTTGTGAAGAACTTTCTGCGGTATATATGTTAACTGAATTGGATTGGTTGAACTACAACTTGTCCTAACTGCAAACTAGGGGGAATCATACCTAAGTGAGTTCCCAACCTGTAATTAGTAGTTTTACCTAGTTTAGCTTGTAGACTAGTTTAGTTAATCAAACCTTAATATGATTTGCTATATAATGAACTGAAGCTGAGTAATACTACATCTATAGACTCGAGGATTCGATATTTAATACATGTGCCACTATAATACAGTCCCTTTCATTGGTTACACTTGGCCATTGTTAGGAGTTGTGTTTTAGCGAGTCAACCTTCCTACCCGGAAAGACAGTAGATGAACTCCAAATTTGGAGTGCACACCCCCAACATATTCATAGAAAGTTTTCCATGCCTGACTCGATATCTTGATCGGTCCTCTTTCAATGGACGAACACGTACATGAGTACCATCTAGGGCTCCTAGAAAACTCTATAACACACAAGAACAACCATTTTAAAGATGGAATGAAACCAAATTTTAATTATTGAGCAAACCAGCTAAAAAATGTCCTAACCAACCTTGAAATATTTCCACGTACATGAGTACTATTCAGTTGGATGACAACCCATAGTACCCGATGTATAGAGCGAGAAATGGTCTCCCCCGATCGTCGCAAATTGAGTATTAAAGTTCTATTCTTCTCTCTGTGAGAAATAGTGCGAAGAAAGGTGTAAGAAATCTCATCTAAGTCATTCCTAGTTCTTTTCCATCTTCCTTCAGCAACAAGAAGGTGACAAAAAGAGTTGAATAGGGTTTGGTTTATCCTAACCCTATCATACGAATATGTGTCACTCCTACGGATTGCCAGTTCAAGGTGTCTTTGCCTGTCATAATGTCTAACTAAGTTGGTGTCCATGGGCCGCCGACCAAGTCTTGGGGTTAGAATTTCGTTTTTCTATGAGCTCGATTAATCCCATACCTAAATTAACGTAAATCATAATCAAGTTTAGGAAAGAGCTAATCACTGCTACCACATGAAGCCTATGTGTTGGAGACAAGGTAGGTAAGTGTGCCATCTTCTTTATTTATTTATAAGAGTGATATAGGTTTCATTTTGTTGTCATTAAGGTAATATTTAAGGGATTTGAACCTAGGACCTCCAAATTCTAAGATAGTGATATTACGACTAGGCCAAAACCTTGTCCGTATGCCATCCCTATTATATGAAAAATAAAAAAAACTTTATCAGTTACATATTCACATGCAATTGACGGAAGCAAATGTCCAACCCTTTTTTTTATGAACAACCATCCAACCCTATGCTATATCCCATACCTAAATTAACGTAAATCATAATCAAGTTTAGGAAAGTGCTAATCGCTAATACCACACGAAGCCTATGTGTTGGAGACACGGTAGGTAAGCATGCCATCCCTATTATATGAAAAATAAAGAGACACTTTATCAGTTACATATCCACAGGCAATTGACGGAAGCAAACATCCAACCCTGTGCTATATCATTCATACAAGTTCAATGCCTTCACAAAATATCTAAACAAGAAATCACAAGCTAACAACCAAAATTCCATTGGAGAGTAAGCAGATGAACAAAATTTGACCCACTTCATTGGCCAACAAACTTGATAGTACATAACTTATAGAATGATGGTTGTATACATGATAGTAGGATATACCAACCACTATTTACCTCCATTTACCACTATTATATAGGATGGTAAAAGTTGATATATTTGGTCCATAAAAATTTTGCACAAATATATCAAATTATACATTTATTCATGATAAACCCATTCGTTTAGTGACAATTTTTTCAAAATTTGAGTTTTAACAAAGAAGATACAAGTCAATTAGAAATGAAGGGAACAATAAAAACACTTTTAATCTCATCCATTAGACATGATCCTACTCAAAATCAAGGGGTCAAATATGCTTAAGTACCCAACCTGTCAACTTCGAAAGTGCTCCTAATCTGACAAGAAGCAAGTCTTGCCGGAGAGAAGCTTGGGTTATACATTTGGTTAGTTTCTCATATTGTTCTTTAGCGTCTTTGCTCTGTCGACAATGAAGATCTGCCTTTTGAGGTGGAAGGACCATATGGCTTATTGGCTTTTCAGCTCTTTCCACTTCTGAGGATGTTACTAATGGTGGAATCTAATTGTTCATGCTCCAATTTTAAAGATATAAATAATGATTACATGTTCGTGCAGGAAAGAGAAGCTACCAGACTGAAAATTGTCATTTGGGCGTGAATTGGCTTCGTTTTCAACAATGGAAGAGGCGAGTCATTTTCAAGCAACCTAAAGGTCCTACTAATGAACATATTTCTACGGAGAAGTAACTCCTAGATCAAAGTATCTTACATTCAGATCGACCTTTCATCATGTTTATACCAAAAAATAACCTTATACCACATTGATTATTTACAAGGCGTTAACTGTCTTTATAAGACCAGATCAATAATAACAATTAATATAATTTAAGAAGAGCCTTATGGTACTATATTTTAAGTCCAAGCCACTAAGTTATTAGTGAGCATGGACATGACTCAATGACGGACATGGGCCTCTCGTAAAAGGTCATGACATCAGTAGAGTTTTTAGGAATCGGGACATGCTTCTTCATCAACATATCATTCAATTGAATGAAAACCCTTAGCATCCGATGTGTAGAGCGAGAAATGGTCTCTCCCGATCGTTGCAAATTGAGTATTAAAGCTCTATTCTTCTCGTTGTGAGAAATAGTGCCAAGAAAGGTGCAACGGCGCCAAAAACTTGACACGCTAAAACACAACACCTAACAATGGACAAGTGTAACCAATGAAAGGGACTGCAGTATAGTGGCACAAGTAATAAATATCGAATCCACGGGTCTCTAGAGTTACTATTACTCAGCTTCAGTTCATTATCTAGCAAACTAGATTAAGGATTGATTTATAAACTACTCTACTGACTACTCTACTAATTACAAGTTGGGAACTCACTTAGGTATGATTCCCCCTAGCTCCTCGATTAGGTCCAAGTTGCAATTACCTTTGGTTGACCTACTGATGATTAAACTGCGGAAGATCCTAAATTAGCTTGGAATCTCTTAAGCTGACCAAGCCCTCTCAGACAGAATACCCGGCAGGCGACTAGCCTTCACCGGGATAGACTTCTAAGGC